ATATATATACATACATACATATATATACATATATATGCTGATTTTCACCTTCGAGTCGAGTGTGCTGTTGAGCTGAGTGTGTTCTTCTGGAAAGTGTCTGTGTACGAGAAGGGTGGCATGGGGCTGGCTTGGATGAACTTTTCGTAACTATCGACTTCGGCAACATCTGAAAAGAGACAATCAACATAAAAATAAGTTGTCTATTGAACCCTATTCAAACGAAACGCAGTAAATTTCGAAACAAGCAAACATGGTTACTCACCCTGAGCGTTTGTACGTTTGTGTTCGCTATACATAGGCCTACGAGGGGGTCTATATAATTTGTATCTTATTCGCGTTTCTTGCATCTGACCGACCCTATCGTACCGAACTCTGACATAGGTATACACTGCACTATTGTGTGTGATATGACCATTAGATAAACTATGAACCCACAGCACAATAATAGAACAAAAAAATACAAGACCTGCTACATCAACAACGAAACAAGAACAAAAGCAAAAGCAAAAGCAAAAGCAAAAGCAAAATATGCCGTATAACGTAAACTAACAACACACAAAAATACATTATACGGCGAGAGTCTACCAATACTGTCGATACGACCTATCCGCCATAGCCCGAGTTTTCTCTGTATTCTTCACCATAGACCAGATAGAATCTGGCATTTTGTATATATGTATATATATATACATATACATATACATATACATATATATATACACTTACACACATACAGATATGTACGACAGCGTGCAATTAGTAGCCATCACACGCTACACACATACCCGTATAGTCAGATTTGTACTTTTGGTCCTCAAATTTGAACTGCACACTGCGGTTTTTCTGCGCAGGTGTGCGATTTGTTTTATCTGCAAACGAGGTCTGTCGCCCCAAACCAGGCGCAGGAGTTGATCCCATTGGTCTTGACGTGTGTGCGTGTGAGTGCGTGTGCGTCTTTGAACGATACCCAGACCCAGCAGAAGGGGCCCTGGTAGGCTGGATGGTGAGAGGATAATTTACATTAAAACTCAAGCCGTGTGTGTGTGTGAGGGTAGCTGTATGTATGTATGTATATATGTATGTATGTATGTATGTATTTATGTATGTATGTATGTATGTATGTATGTATGCATGTATGTATGTATGTATGTATGTATGTATGTATGTATGTTTGTATGTAT